TGCCTCTACAAACGCCTGGGGCGTCATGGCTGAACAATCAAGGGAGTCACCACGCCTTTCTAAGGTGCGGCGAGGAGGCACAAGTGAACCAACCAGCGAAGAGCCCGGCTGCGGCAACTGACCTGGGTTCGTCATCGATGGTTTCGCTGAGCTCGCCGGGGTGGCCGCGATGGTCTCACCGATAGGTCCAGTCAGGGCAGGCGCCAGCATTGGGGCTTGATCAACTGGTCGAACTGCCGGTCCATCGATCAATGGCGGCACCACAGCTGCTGCCACCTCCTCGAGAGGGTTGTGGCACTGCAATGCCGAGGACTCAGGCTTGACCAAAGCTCGCTCCTTCCGGAACAAAGGGCTCTCGCAAACGAGGTGGACATTGATCGGGTTTGATTCCACAGCGATCGCTGACACACGCGGCCCCGTCTCGCGCTCTGTTGGCGCTTCCGTAGCCGCCGTCCACTGAGCATGGATCGCCGCTTGGCATTTCTCATGAGAATAGGCCCCGACCTGCACCGAGCTGGCTGCGATGTCCAATCTGTCACCTGCGCTGAGAAAGCGGAGTTCCAGACGATCTGCATCAGCCCCCAGTGAATCAGGGGATGCTGTAGCCACGAAGCGGCATTCCACGTGACACAGTGGAAAATCCAATGCCACGTGCCACCTTCGGAACATGCGTAGATCTGACCGCCTACCTCCCAGGCGACCGCCACCACGCGCCAGCCCTGGAAGATCGTCACCACAAAGGCCGGGATGAACACCGTTTCGGCCAAAATGTTGTTGATCGCGTCGGCGGTGTGCCATAACTGAATGCTGCAGTCACGGTCTGAACGGTACCCCCTTAGCTCGAAGTGGCAAAGAAGATGGCCTTCAAGCTTCACCTTGACATCGACCCAGGTGGGTGAGTTCTCGGTCATCTGAGGCCACCTGAACGGTTGAAAGGCGCTATGGCTGAGGACCTCCGGTGAGGCTGTCCCAACGAGCACAAGGGGCATTACCATAGCTGGTCATGGAGGCACAGATCGTGACCTTCACCCCGTCGAGCGTCTTGGCCATGAACAGGCTGAAGTGGTAGCCACTGGTAGGTGCCCTGACGAGGTTGCGATCCGATCGAATGTTGGTGTAGGCCAAGGCATTGGTCAGCACCTCATCCAAGAGCCAGCCTTGGAATGGCGATTGCACCCTGCAGTCACGGCCATCCACGATCAGCACTGACCGCTCATTCTCATTGCCTCCGATCTGGGACAGGTGATCAGGCAACTGAGCATTCAAAGCATTGTGAGCTAAGTTGCCAGGTGCCATCTGCCCCCAACGAACTCCCCTCCTCCCTCGACGAGCTGCTTGCTCCAGCTGTCTCCTCAAACGACGTGACATAGGTGGCTCATTGGCGTGATCCAGCAATCCTCGAGCAGCTTGGTTCACAGGAGCCGTGTTCTGAGCAGGAGCTGGAGCTTGAGGTGGCGGGGGCGGCATACTCTTCGGCTGTGGTTCGAGAGGCGTCTCACCTTGAGCACTCGGTTGACTCGAGCTAGGCTGTTGATCCAAAGGAGCCTGCTCAGGCACTGGAGCAAGTGAAGGATCCTGAACAAGTGGAACTTCCAAATCGACTGGAGCCCACGAAGACGAAGAAGATGAGTCATCCCAACGTCCACTGGCGTTCGCCACCTGTCGTGGCATAGCTGAAGGGATCCCTAGTCCAGGCGGTGGAGCCTTCCGAGCTGGCGGTGCCTTACGATCTGAAGTCGCCATGAAACGAATCGCCCAGGCCCTAGTGCTGAAAAGCTAACCAGGTGTTCTCAACCTGGCGATACGTCGAGTGGCGACTGCTCGCCAAAATGGCAGCGATGAGATATCGCATTCATTGAAAAATATAACAAACAAAGCTGAACACTTTATCTAAAAAGTCCCTAGCATGTTCCAGGCCCACCTAACCGAAAACATGCTCACAAACATTGCTTTTATGATTCTTATGTGTATATGCAGTTCCGGGGATCCTTCATGCAAAAAGAAAAGAAACCGTACCTTTGAGCAGGAACCATGAAAGCCCTCCTTGCTGGGAAGCTTCGTAGAGCTTCTTGTAGGTAGAAGAGCTTGGTCGGCCACAGGCCAAGAAAATGAACCTCCGACCCACGTTGCGCTCTGGCAACTTCAAACTCTCCTCCGCATAGGTCCGCACCGCATCCGCTGTGGGCTGTGACCCTAACCTCAGCCATCGAATGCCAATGAACAGTATAACACAGCGATGCTGAAAGCGTTGGATCCTATATGGCTGCAAAGCACATCAAAAAAATGTTATATAAAGAAAACAAACATCGTCAAACATCCAAGCCAGGAACATCACCAGCACCAGTTGATCTTCAGCTTCCAGCATCACTGGGTTCTTGCCTTTCAGAAACTCTTCTTCCACAGGAAGCTGTGCCTTGAGGCGAATCGCCGTAGCGGTTTCTGGTGAGGGCAACTCATCTTTCCTTGTAAAGCCGAAGCTCACGGGCATGAACTTCTCCATCTTGATCTGCTGCTGGGGAACACCTGAGAGCTTTTCCAGCTCCTTGACCCCACCACGGCTTGGAGCCAAGGTGTGTAAGTATAAACGCCTCGTGAAGGTGCTGGACAATTGTCTCAGCTTGGTTAGAGGACCAAAAAAGTGCACGGCCTGCCGCAGGGTGACAGTGAAGTGGCTAACAAGCTGGATTGGGAATCATCTTTAGCACGTTGTCACCACTAGCTTGGGTGTCTTATTCTTGTTTTTCAGGAAGGGTGCAAACAAACCACGGCTCTAGGTCCCGCTTAACTGTAGTGCCAACGTAGCATGCAAGTACCATCAAATGCGGAAAACATCAGACACCTCGAGCCTCTGGGGTTGGCAGGTCAGTCATGTAGAGGTCGATGCCAGCTGAGACATCCTCAGCTGCATCCAGCAAGGATTGCAGGAACAAGGGTTGCGTGGAAATCAGCCTTGTTGGGGGTTGCTGATAGCCAAATGTACTTTCTTTGATCAATGACTTCATGTAGTTTCGGCATTGGGAGCCAAAAGCCATGTCGGCCACCGGTTGATAGGATACCAGTTCTTTGAGGCCTTTGATGTTACCGGCTTGTTGCTTGGAATTCCACTGCGCAGTCATGAAGTCACCGAGTGAGATATAGCCGTTTCCATCCAAGCTGGTACAGGGCGACTTCATCAGATCCACCAGTTCCACAGCTGATTTTTGTTGTACCTGCAAAAGTGCAGCTTTTGCGAGCTTCAGGGCATGAGGCTTCAATGATCCTTGATACCTCCGAAGTAGCTCCATGGCCAACATATAGCTTCCATCCAACTCTTCAATCAGTGTTTGCTGCAAGTTCTTGGCAGCCACCAAATGCCCACCTCCACCACTGCTTGTAACGACAAGAAACCAGGTCTCCACTGCATGGTTGAAGGTTCGAATGGCATTTAGGCATCCTGTCCTTGATTCATCTGTATCTGCCACGCATGCATCTTCACTCAGGGTCTTTGGCTGACACGTGCCGCTACATTCCAGACCAAACGCACAATAGCCACTGGCACATCTGGATCCTCGCGGAAGATTGGCATTTGAACCGTCCAGTTCGCCTGTAATGTGTCGCAGAAGCTCTGCCTGCTCTTCCAGACTCATGCTTTTTGTGGAATGCTTGTCGGGGCGGAAAAGAGTCCACTCTGTGCTGATTCGTCGGAATGACACGTTGCGCCATGCATTTAAAACCTCACATCGAACTGTGGGATCTTCACAAAGACCCTGGCTGGCATTTGACGTTCGCAATCCAAGTAAAGGATAATTTAGAAATGAGGGCAGTGGGATTTGCTCCTCGTGGGGCACCTCTTTGATGATTGCCCCTGTCTCAAAGTCAACAAGCCAGTCTGCATGGGAGGAATAGAGAACGCGCTTCTCGAACCGTTCGAAGGCCTTGTGGTGTGACCCACGACTCATCTCCACCAAAATGCTTTTCTCAACATCTTCCTCACACAAGTCCTTCAAGGCTCCTTTGTCCCTACCCGAAAGCCAGAGCAAGGAAGGCAGAAATGTTCCACCCACAAAGCTCTGGACACCAGCATGTGGGCTGAAGAGCGAAATAAAGGCTTGAGGCCTGGCTTGGTTTGGTTTCTTGGCTTCAATCTCGGTTGCCGCCAATCTGCCCACAAGCCCACCAAGAGAATGACCTATCAACGTGTAACGAGTGTATCGCCGTGACTTGTCTCCACTCAGCAGCTGCAACACCTCGTCAGCTACTCGGTGGCCTTGGGCCTTGAGCGGCTCCCTGGTAGCAGCCCCTAAATTGGATGCTAAGACTACCACCATGGCGCGGCGAGCAAAGTTGGCACTGCAAAGACCCTCAACCAAAGATCGTTGTCCCTCACCAGAGGCATCGTAGCCTTAACAAAGGCATCGTTGTCCCCTAGTAGCGTCCTTGCTCCTAGTAGTAAGGCCAGGAGCCCCTAGTAGCGTCCTTGCTCCTAGTAGTAAGGCCAGGATTTATGTTGAAGCTTGTCTTCTTTACTAAATACTCGACCACTTGGGTGCCTCAAAAGACATTTGTTCCGGCCAAATCTTCTATTGCAGCCACCTATATATTCTAAAGAAAGCGGGTTTCAACTCTCGTTATATAATTACTTACAGCAGATTGTCCGCGATCTTTCTCCCACTGTGCCTGAAACAATGGCAATCAGTTGCCAATCATCGTCTTGGGCTGCGTCACTTTGGTGAGAAGAGCATTGGATTCGCTCGCGTGCATCTGTGAGGGCGTGCTCTGCGCGCAAAGCCTGACCTAATCCAGCCAGGGCAACAAATAGAGCACCGTTCAAAGAGCGCATCATGGCGATTTGTGGAACGCAATGATTTAACAAAGCTAGTTGTTTGAGCCTTCTTCGGCTGCATCACGAGAAACCAAAATTTTGCTCTGCGCAGGCTGTGCACAGTCTCGGCTGAGACAAAACAACATCCGAGGGCCAAGTGAAATAGCCTTCCACTCAACTAGATCTGCAATTTCTGTGCCTCCAATCCTTGCTTTGCTGCTTCGTCAAGGAAAGGCTTATGGTCCTCCAGAACAGATTGGCTGGCTACTCTTGGGAACCCACTAAATGCAACATCACCTGGATCGCATGAGTTTAAAGGAACAAACACGTAGGTAAGTTCAAAGGCAAGGAACGGGCGTCATGAAAACATGAATGTCAAAAGCCACATGATGAATCAAGATATGCAGCGCCACGGCTTATGGTTCCCAAAGACTTTACTTGCTTGCCCACTCACCCTGTTTTCTCAAGCTGTTTTAGAGAGTGCAGCTCTACAATACGAAACGACATGAAACACCGCAGGTGAAACTGAGCTGCGACATTGATAGTTTCACCAAGTTGATGGCCGCTCGAAGTTTTGAACTCTGCTCATGCAACAAGGAAGAGCTTCGCGAGAGCCAGCGCGCACATTATTTTTGAGTCATCTGACAGTCATCTGAGTCTGAGTCGTCCAAGTCTTCAAGCGTCCAGAGAATCTCGTAAGTCTCCCCACATCATTCTAGACTCGAATGCAACATGATGAAAGAGAAGGTACGGGCCCCTTCAATAAGGCCCCTTTTAAAAGAGCCTTATTCCCGAATGCGTAGCAAAGGGTTCTCGATTGACTTTGGGAGTCTGAGGGTAGAGCCACATGGTTCTTTGTTGTTTAAAGCCTAGCAACCAGAACGTTCGCCACCTCAACAATGTTCACAGCAGGAAAGAAGTGTTTAAGGTCGGCCCTCAGCTTTGTGGTGGTCGCAAGCGTTTTACGCTTAGACTTGTCATCGTTCAAAAACTGGCCATACAAAGTGTCCCAAAGTTTGGTTTGCCGCATCGCCAGTTGCAGAACATTCAAAACAGCTTGCCTCGTCCACCCCAATATGTGTCATCAATAGAAGCTGTACAGCGTAAGCCGTTGAATTATCAAAGGGGCCTTTACCATCTTTTCCTCATCTCTTCTTTCGTAAGTCCAATCACTGTTTTGCCAGACGAGCCTCGCGAGGATCGTTCCCATAAAGACGTACCTAAATGTGAATAGGCTGCACATATTTAGTGATCTAAATTACCACGGCTTTTAGCGAAAATGAGCAAAATAACCCAAGGGAGAGCTCAGATTCCAGCTGCGTTGGCTCCCACCTTTTTCATAATTTCCAGGTCTCCTCTTCCAGAAGAACTCCACTGCGCCTTTGCAGATTGCTTTCGGTGGCTCTGCAGCTCGCAATGCTCTGCCCCAGACAAAACTCCAACATGAATTCTGTCCAGTCTGATCTATCACAACTACTTCACACTCCACACTCTATATAAGATACTTCAATCCCAGGAATTTACACTGGCTGCCAGTTCACGTGCCTTCGCGGAGGGCGCCATGAAGTCATCGTTTGGGAGCTTCCCTGCTCCCTCCAGAGACACACACTGCCACGACATGTTGAACCAATCTTTCACTATGCGCCTTCAAGGGCGCAGGGCCGTAGCTGATGCCTTTCAATAGTTCCTTCACACACTTCTCCAAAGAAACAGGTCATGTGTCACAAGGAAATGGCGGCCAAACTTCTGGTTTTGGCTCAAAAAAATTAACATGTTGGTCTGGTTTTGATCCCAGCTTGCATTGTGTCCTTGCCAGCGGTGGCCCTTATCCTGCACAAAACACAAACACAGAAAGAAAAATTCCCTGCTTAATTTCAGCTTCAGCCCTGACCTTGCAAGAATCAGCAGAAGCAGTTGCAAAGCTTTTGCCATGCCCTGAAAGCTGCCACAGGGCGCTCCAAACATTTCGGACAGCACAGTGTCACAGGATGTCACAGGATGTCACAGGCACAAGAACCACAGAATCAGGGCGCCTTTGGGAGCGGCTGGAGGTGTCGAACACTTTGAGATTAAGAGTTGGAGGAGCTGGAGGTGTCGTGAAAGACCACTCTTAGAGTCTCTCTTCATTCTAAACAAACACTGTAGCTCACTCCGCTTGCATTCAAGGCTTGGGGGTAAAGATTGGCACCTGAACTCAAGCCTTGCTCTGATTGTGTTCAAATTCTTGGGATCGAAATGGCAGCGAAATCCACTTTGGACTGAGCTGTGTGGAGCTTCAACCTCCCCATAACCAACGGATTGTTTTTAGGAAAATGATGCGTGACAAAAAGTTCTTCTTTAAATCTTTAATGTAGGTTTTGGAATGGTCTGTCAGAAATCAATTTGTTAGGACGATGTCCGCAAAAAGTAATGTTCGATTCAGACAAACTGCTCTCCCATTTACCAAGTCAAAAGGGATGTTCACCGACAGTCTGACCGACCGACTGTCGGGTCCAACTCCGCTTTGCAATGCTTTTTTGAACGAGGGCAGGTTCTGACGGTGAGCCACCTCCACGCCTTTCTCACTCACTCGCCATGCCCTCGGAAAACTTTGCATTGTGGAAAACAGCACATGCTGAGAATCCCAAAAACAACAACAAGATTGCCCTTTGTCAATGCTCCGGAAAATGTTCCAGCGTGTCAAAATGCTCTTTGTTGCCCATTGTCTATAATGAATCGGGGTAGTGCCTACTCTTCTCAATCCAGAAGAGCTTCAACCAACATATCCCAGGCAAGATTCCGGCCGCATCCCTTTCAGGATCGAAGCGCAGGTGCAGTCCAGGACACGAAGCCTTGCCATTGGTCCCAAAAACACTCGCAAAGTGAACAAAAACCTGGAAGTCAAATTGGTGCCCCATGCAAGTTGTAGCAGATTTGCTGCAGCTACTTGATTTGATTGCCACTTGAGACCTGTCTAGCCTCTTGATGTGCAAATCCAAACGACCCAAGTTGCAGCACAGACAGTGCATGGGGAACCTACAAAAACTTTATGTCTACAACATTCGAGCAAAGCGTCTGGACATCCCGGAAGCCGAAGAATTGTCCTCAGGCTCATCCGCTTGCCGAAAGGCATCCGCCTGACGGAGTGTGGAACAAAAGAAATCAATTTCAGGGAAACGGGGTGGCCAGATACTGTCTTTTGACCCATGACGCATGACGCCAGGTCGCATCAATTTTTGCATGTGGAAGAACGAAATCTGTTTACCTTTAATGTTCAAACGACCCATGGACTGAAGTCATGTTTCTTTTAGTATGTGGCCCATGCACTGCCATGTCACATTATCGTCCTTCGTCGCCCAACCTGAGCCAAAAAGTTTGGGCCACCGAGCCCGCTGTCCATCCATTCCCATCTCGCCTTCGACAAAGGAGCTACACCCATCAACGAAGAAGGACCTTCGTCTGGTGTTGCAGGCTCTGGCTGCACCGGCAAAGGTTGCCCTTCTTCAGGCCTGCAGGACTAGAATCAATTTTTCAGCAAGCGAATGAGTATCACAAAGGTTTAGAAGGCACATTTTTTGCAAACAAGCTACGATGAGTGAGTAGATACTGATTTGAAGCGCAAACACCGTTCAAAAAGAAATACTGCACCCTGGAGGAAATCGATCAAGCCCCGACAGTGGAACTGCAACAGCATGAGTTCCAAAACTCGACTATACATGGCGCCTAATAAGATATATACAGAAATTCACCAAAAACACCTCGGCATGAACCTGGCAAATAGAAAATGAAACCATTGTAATTTCACCAACAAGTGTTGCGTCTTTGCCCGACAATGCGGTCTTCAAAGGCGTGAGCCTTTTCAACACGCCATGCGAGCATGCTAACACGGCAATACGTCGCGCGAATTTCGCATCTCAACGGGACAGCACACCAGCGTGACCCATGCCAGCACCTCCACGTGACAACATGTCATCATGACAGCCTGACAACACGTCGGCGTGACGCCACGCAAGCACATTGGGCGTGACACGCCAATGATATGAACGTGATTACACGTCCGCGTGCCGACATTACACGTCACACCAACGCACCACCACGTCGGGCATTACCGTGGCTACACCTTAGATACAGACACGGGGAGCACTCCATACCCGAAACTGATCCCGAACTTCGACCACCACAACCTGCTCTGGAAACTCCGAACCCTCCTCTGGAACCTCCCCAGAACCTGTTGCCAGAACTTCCTCCAGAACATGCTCCTGAAACCTGGTTCGCAACCTGCTCCGGAACATGCTCCGCAACTTGCTCCACTGAACCTGCTCTGGACCCTGCTCCAGAACCTGCTCGGGAACCTGCCGCGCGAACTTGCCCTTGATCCAAAACCTGCTTGCTCCGGAACACCCTCCCAGGTTCCAGAGCAGGTTCTGCACCTGCTCCGGAACTTCTTCCAGAACTCGCTCCAGACCCTGCTCCAGAACTTGCTCCGGAACCTCTTCCAGGACCTGCTCTGATCTCTTTGGAAATCTTTACTATGGCTGAAGAACCCAAGCTTTGCTCTTGGGGACAAGAGTGAATACGCAACCTTCTGCGCGCTAAGGCGCATACATGAAAGCGCACACACGAGAGCGCTCACAAACACACATATGAGCGCAAGCATTTGAGAGCAAGAGCATATGACAGCGGAGTGCGCAATGGAGAGCACGCATTTGTCGGCAAACACATGAAAGCACAAATATGAGGGCACAGGTTGGAGTCACCACACACATTACCATAGAAAACAGCACGTCTGCGAGAATGCACACAAGGGAACGCACACATGGGAGCACCCATCTGAAAGGGAACACAAAGCACAAACATATGAGAACACGCGTAATAAAGGCACACCCGTGAGAACACACATCAGAGCACACATGCAGGAGCACACACGTAATGAGCGCACACGCAGGAGAGCACACACAAAAGAGCACACATATGAGCGCGCGCGCACGCGCACATATGCGGGAGCACACGCCCACATATGAAGGCCCTTTGAAGTTCACAAAACGCTTCACCTGCCACGACATCTGCACTCTGCGTTTGCCTAAACGCTGCGCGTGCTCCATGCACGTCGAGGCTCACAAAGCGTTGCACACGCTCTGAAACAGGCTTCCAAAGCACTGCGCCTGCCACGACATCTGCATGTCGAAGTTCGCACAGCGTGCAACATCTGCACTTTCGAGGTTTACGAGGCGCTGTACCTGCCACGAAGTTTCAAGACGTTCATTCAGCGTTTCGCCTGCCACGAAATAATCTTGAAAGCGCCGCGCCGCAGCTGCCATGAAATCTGAACATCAAGAACAAAGCGCTCCCAAAGACACGCTAGAGATGTCACAAGCAAGCTAGTGAGCCACAAAGTTCCTGACTCGTTGCACCAGAGCACGCCAAAGTCCAAAGCGCTGCGCACGCAACAAAAATGCACATCAATCAAAATAAAAATGCTCTGATCCCTTGCGTCTGCCATATGGACTGGACCAAGACCAGGAATTCCGTCGCACCCGCCACGAAAAGTGACCAACAAGAGAGAAAGCGCTTGCTTCGGACTGCCATTTTGCGTGACCCTGCGCAGTTCAAGTGCGCTTGGAAGATCTTGAGATGCATGAATGTACTGACGCGTGCACCCTCAATTGCCCAGCCTTAACCCTTACCGAAAGAACCCCTGATGTGACCCTCCCAGTTCCAAGTGGTGCCTGGAAAGCCCTTCTGAGATTTCAGGCGCCCACTCGGCAACGTCCTCCGTGAGGGGCACTCGAGGGCCCTGCGCCCAGAAGTTGGCAGTAACTTTGGTCAAGTACCTGAGACCGAAACGAACCCAACTTGCACGCGTATACCGACCAGGTTCAAATCATGAGAAAAAGGATGCACCTTGACCAGGATCTGAGGACCGTAAAACAATGATGGCTGAATTGCACGGCACCAATGGACAATGTGTTCCATTTTTGACTGGGGCCGCGCCATCTGTGAAAAGAGTCAGAGTGATACTGCGCAGGTTCGTTTCTCAAGTTCCTGCTGATGAGGTGCGCAGACACGTTCCGAACCTCCTCGCCCCTCTGTTGCACTTTCTGCAAGTGGAACTTAGCCTCATGGGAACAAAGGAAGCAAAATCTATCAAAATGGTCGCTGGACACAGAACCCTTCCAGCTTTACAAACACGATCCTTGGACTCGCTTTGGGCCTCCTGTGCTGGAAGCTTCAGAACCTCTTGAAAGACCTTCTCATCGATCTGAAGAGAGCGTAGCTCGTCCAGCAGCTCCTCACGGCAGACACACTGCTGCTCTGCGAAGCACAGATGCAAAATGGGGCTGCGCGAAGTCCGGCTATCAAATAATTCAAAGTTATATATATATATATACATATATGTAGATATACATACATGAATATATACATGTATATGTTTGTTTTTTTTATATGCGTGCGTGGGTGTGTGTGTGCCCCTTGGAATCACAAGGATCCTGTTGGATTGTTTTGCTTCATAATTTTCTTTCAGCACGGCATTTCACTGCGACTGTGCCCATCGAAGCTACCAGTGAAATGGGATATCCAGCTTGGCCAACTGGACGTACCTGCAACCATTTTTAAGTTTCCGTGAAGGGCAGACAAGAACGTACGTCGTCATCCTGTCGGCTCGTCGCATCGTGGAGTTTGACTTCTGGCCTTCAACTAAAGGCGCTCAGGCCCCCACACCTGGTTTTTCAGGATTTGGTTTCTTAGGCTGGCGTGTTCCTCTCCCTTCCATTTGGTTCCCTTCTCATCTTTGTCCCCTTCACACCCCTCTTTTTCCTCCTTTCTTTCATGGCTCCTGTCTTCATGTCCTGGCATTTCATTCCTTCTTTCTTTTGCGCACACAATGGTCCGGCCCTTAGTGTGTCCGGCCCTTGTGTACTTTAAACCCAGGTTTCAGGTCGCCCAGGTCTGAAAGTGAGGTGGGATTCATTGTTTGTCCCTGCGCACTTGGTTGCTTTTTCACCGCAACCACGTACACCCTTGTCCTGTCTTGTCCTGTTTTCATGTCTTCATCTTTTTGCCCTTGCTGCGCGCACACGTGCACATTCGTCTTAACCTTAGTT